TCGGATCTTGTCAATTATGTGCGAGCTATGGGCAAACTTACCTCATTCATTGAGTGTGAAAGTGAGTCAGCGACCATTTAAGAGTTTTTTTTCCAGTTCAGATATCCAATATCACTTGTTGCGCAGATGTAGAGTCGAGATGCTGTCGAGGTAGGGATTTGTCCAAGCATACCTACCACAAACTGTACATGTTTTCTTTGTAATGGAAAACAAGCACTGATCAGAGGTCACCAAAGTGGTCAGTTTTTTTCAACAGACACCTCCTATCACACTTGTTGTCCCTATGCTTAGTCGCAAGCGCGACTGACTTTGGCTGTTAGCAGGAGAGGCAACCTGTTTTACCGGGCAGACTGCCTCTTTCTCCCTTCGAGTAATGTATGTTAATAACAATTCTGCACCAGATCGTTTTTTAGTATCATGTTCAGGCAAACAGATGAGCTGTGGTATATTTTCGATGAGCGAAACGCGCGCCTACGAGCTGGTCAAGCAGAGCCCCATCGAGTTTGTGAATCACAACAAAAGGCAAATCACGAGGGTGTACCCGAAAGGGAAACGCGTCGATTCCAGCAATTTCTGGCCTATTGTACTTCTTCAGACTTTCTATTAATTATATATCTTTTAAACTATGTGTAGTGCTATTTTATAAGCAAACAAAAAACGACAAAAATGCCTGAAACTAGATGAAAACAGAGACAAACATATGGCTGACAAAGAACAAGCAAGGCGCTGTAAACGGCGACGAGGACAAAGATACAGTGCTACTGGCTTTTCCCGGGGACTGCAGCACTGCTATCATGGGGGAGAAGCGAAATTGTTCCTGACTTAGCGCTTTTATTAGCACGAAAGATTACGAGCGATTAAAAGAACCTCACAGAACTTATGCCCAACCAATTTCCTTTTAAAAATGCCATGATTGCATACTAGCAATACTTTTCTACAAAATGGAAAATTTTCAAAAGAAAATTTTTCAGAAATTCTGGAACTGTGGCTGTCAAATGGCGGCTATCAATATGCAAACACCCGATATACCGTTCCAAATGAACGCCGCGTTTTTTGAGCAGAACGGCCGTTCCGGATATGTGCCGAAGCCGAACTTGATGCGCAAAGCGGACGCAAAATTCAATCCTTTTGAAACGCGCACCATGGATCTCGTTGTGCCTGCCTATTTGTCTGTTACCGTATGCTTTTAGAAAGCATAAATTATATCTGGAAGT